AAGACAGGAAACTTAATGCTAGCGTGGGGGTCCCATTGTCAGGGTCACAGTCAGGATGCCGAAGACCACACGCTGCATGTGTGAGTTGTTGCTGTCGTTATCTATCAACCAGATTGTCTATTGCTGTCTTTACGGGAGCGTTTTCTCGATCTTGTGACAGTTTTTGTTTGTGATTGTTTACTGGATTTCTAATTATTTGATTTTTTTATGTGTTCGTGTAATGTATCTATTAATTAAGTGTCCACGAAGATTTCTTACAAATGAACGTTTCGTTGATATGTTTCGGAGGGAAGAAGTCGGACTTCCCAATGTGACATCATTTTCTACAGTGTTGGGTAGGGCAAGGGAAAAGAAACGAAAATGTGTGTGTGTGTGTGTGTGTGTGTGTGTGTGTGTGTTTGTGTGTGTGTGTGTGTGTGTGTGTGTGTGTGTGTGTGTGTGTGTGTGTATAAAGACTAACCCGTGAGTGTGCACATGTGCGCGCTTGTTTGCATGTACGTATGTAAACACACAGTTTTACTTAGATACGATAGTGCTGCCTTGTAGTTTAGTCAAAAGGCTATGGCAGTCCACCCTATACAAAGCAATCTACTGCCTTGTGGTATTTATAAGTTGAAAAGGCTTCGGGAGTCAACTCTGAAGAAAAATCCGTAGCGGGAGCCCCGAAGGCAGTTCGTTGTCGCTTGTCACCTCGTTCTGCAACTCCTGCAACGTCGCTGGTGCCAAACTGTACCGGTCTTTGCCGTTCCTTACGATCCCTCAACTGCGTGGAGAGAGGGAGCGTGCTACATGGGCAACAGCTTGCTCCTCACATTCTTTCGCCCGGGCATTGGTTCTACCTATACGGGAGTGGGTAAAGACAATAATGCCATAGTTGACATCGACTGAAGGTGGCCGCCGTGCGTGTGTGTGTGTGTGTGTGTGTGTGTGTGTGTGTGTGTGTGTGTGTGTGTGTGTGTGTGTGTGTGTGTGTGTGTGTATAAATGTATATAAACATTTATGAATATATATGTATGTATATAAACATATATGTATATATATAAATATATATATGTATGTGTGTGTGTGTGTGTGTGCGTGTGTGTGTGTGTGTGTGTGTGTGTGTGTGTGTGTGTGTGTGTGTGAGTGTGTATGTAGATGTATGTGTATGTGTGTATATATATATACTTACACACATACACACACGTATTTCCCTCTATGGCTGAGTCATTTAACTCTAACCTTTATAGTGTCGGCTAAAATAGCATAAATGTTTAAGGTTTCATATACCGTCTTCCTGTTGGAGATCCCCTTTCATGACTATCTTCATAGCACCTTTAAGTAACACAAACTTTCAAAATGATATCCTCAGGTACAGGTAAAATTATACGCAATTTGTGTTTACATCGGTTTTTTTTTTTTTAATCTTTATTCTTACAGCTTATGGTTAGATCAATAAATAGTCGCCAGATATCCGGGTATAAAAAACAAAACTCGAATGAATGATGATACTTTGCCATTGCAATGCTGGAAGGATTTTTCCTATTCTCATTCCAAACTTCATCACGTGTCAAATCCCGTATCCTTCGTCATAGGATGAACGATACTCAGCCTCATTCACAGGATTCTGTTTTTATCTCCTCCTCGAACGCGTCGGGTCTGAGATCGAGAGGCGCCTCGGACATCGGGGATTACGCCGGTCGAGGGGAGATTAGATTCTAAATACACGGTAGATTCATAGACATCACCCAGCAAAAAGGAGGAAAAATGCGTCAGGCTATATAGTAATGACCGCGGGAATGGCAACACGCGGTAAATTCCCGGAAAACACCCGTTCTCTGGGAACCTGTTTCGTATGTCGGGAGGCTCGTGACGTCAGGAGTGCGCTTATGACGGAAGGGGACGGCATCGTTACGTCACCCAATGAAAATGTTGCACGATCAGACGGACTTCTGCCAAATGTGACATAAAAAGTTCACCTGAGCCACCTAGATAAATCAATATATAGATGTAATGCAATGAAAGTTAAACCATACCACACATATATGCACACACACACACACACACATATATATGAGTGTGTGTGTGTATATATATTACATAAATGCATACATAAATGTGAGTGAGCGGAAGAGCCGTGCAGTACCTCAGCACAAATCAGCAAATCTGGATTAATATTGCAAACTTTAGCTTCAATATTGGATAACGGGATTATGAGCATCTGATCACGAAGTGCATGAAGGTAGAGCGACATTCTTTGCAAGTCAGTGCCACCGCCTAACTTCGCTATGATAGATAACCAAGGGGAGTGGAAATTTTAGCGGTGACCTTGAACTTGAAAATCAGCGACCCCAATACCGAGAACCAACTTTATTCTATCTTTATTTATTTCTACCCTTCACTCCGCGTACTAGCATCACCGTGGCTGTACGTATTGCCTTGAATTAATAAAATAGTGTTAGAATAAGAACACAACCCATAACTAACTGTTGTCATAACAATGGGTGTGGCCGCAACCCGC